GGAGCCCCAATCCATTGTCTGGCAGGCACTCAGGCACACATATGCTTAACGCTTACGGCTGGGAATATGTCTCTGGCTCTGCCTTTGGCTTTGGCTTTGGCGCTGTCTTTGGCTGTGGCTGTGGGTTTAGTTTTTGGCTTAAACGTTGCCTGCTTTCTGGGGCAGAGTGGGGTTTACTTGGGTGTTTTTTTTTTCCGTTGCTTCTTTCACTTTTTTATTTGCATATTTTAATGCAAATTGTGCAGAATTAATTTAGTGCTGTTTAGTCTGCTGTCTTTTCCCCTTGCTCAGCCCACTCGCTTGTATCCAATTTCCAGGCACTTTTACCCCGTCCAAAACCAAAATGTTCTGCCACAATTTTGGCTGTTCGTGTCGAGTGGGCGAGAGGTTTCGTTTCATATGTAAATATTTCGAGTTTCAACTTTTATTTCCTTCAAGTTCGTCGCTTTACTTTATTGTTTATGCTTAAAGTGTGTTTCAAGGCGCATTGAAGTGTGGCCTAGTTTACCGCCAAGAGCTGTCTCCCTCTCTCTGTTGGCCCGGGCCAGAGAGGTCGAGGGCGAAAAATATTTTATGAGCCATATTATGTAAACTGAATTTAGTTTTTGGCATTTGCTTGCCGTCTTCATTGCCAGTTTGTTGCTGAATTATTCGACAAGGCATTCAACTGGCACAACAATTTGCTGTGCTCTGCGTCTTCCTTTTCAGACAAATTTTTGAAAAAGGGTTAAAGAAACGCGTACACACAATTGTTGGGCGTTCTATATGGATATAAGGGTTAATTTTCGTTTATAATATAATTTAATATCATATTTTTACACACTTAAATGTTGCATATTAAATTATTTGCTAAAAATTATGTACTCCGCTTAGACATTGTAGTACTTAACACTCTTGTATTTGGCAGTTCAAGTGGTGCGTAGTCAGCTAGCAAAAATTGTAAGAATTATTAGACTAGAAATTGTATAAAAAATTTCACTCACGTACAAAGGAAATGAAATGAAATGAATTTCTGAGCCGTCCCTCAGTTTGTGCTCCTAGTTATCTACATAGTCCGCGTCTGTGTCTCTTTTTTTTTTTTGCTCTTACCCAACGGCAGCAGCAGCTGCAGCTCGTGAGAGTCCGCGAAATTTATGCTGATCATTCATAATGTCAGACGCGAGTGAACAGGACCCTGCACCGACCCCGACCTCGACCCAGAGAAGCCGGCGTGGTGCCCTTTAGAGCGGAGGCAAGGACTAGGCTCAGGAGCTCTAACGAGCGGGAACTGTGAAAATGAATGTGCATAAAGTGGGTCAGATCACATGACCGATTTCTCTCTACATTAAAGCTGAAATACGCTTGGGCCGTGGAATATATATAAATTTTCTATTATTTATTAAAGGCATATTACATAGGTAACATCCTTCAAGCGGAATCTAGCTCTGAATTTAAATGCAGAACCAGAGTATAACAATTTGCCAGTACTCATGTTTGATGCCCTGCCAGGGATTAAAATATACATGTTGATTTAATGCATATGTGATCTTAAAGGTAATACCAAATATAGGTAACAAGGGTATGCTGATTTTTTGCAAATGTATGAGACAGGCAGAAGAAGAGTTCTCCAACCCCAGCAGATCCCAAACACTTTAAAAGCAAAAGACTACAATTTGGAAACTCAATTAATAAAGTCGATTTCTCGTGTCTTTTCCATGAAATCAATTAAAATCGATGTTGATATTTGTTGTGCGTTTATGAGAGCTATAGAAAGTTCAAGAGACGAATCGATGCGGTTCAGATATGGCAAAGCTATGGGTTAGAAATGTGTGAAAGTATAATGAAATTGTTTCCCACTTTTAATTTTGAAAAGGTTCCATGGAATTGACTAAAGACTATTCTTGAGATAGTTATAATTGAGTCGCCAAGTTCAGACAAGCTCAGATCGCACCAATAGATACCCTATAAATTTATATGTTTATTTATATGTATGTAAAGCCAGTGGGCCGATAGGGTAAGTGGGCAGCTGCAAGGGACGGGTGGTGGGAAGGTAAATGAAAAAAAATGTAAGAAAGAAATCAGCAAAGCAACACAAAAGTCGTGCACAATAAGAAAGGAAAATCAATTTCCGCTTTCAAAATAATTCCAAAGCCATACAAAGCTGTATGAACCGAGCCAAGATGAGGCTGAACTGAGCTCAGCTCCGCTCAGCGGAACAATGAGAGCGGACGGAGGAGAGCGGAGTGTGAATTGGATGGAGGGCTGAGAAAAAGTTGCCATTATCCTGTGCGCCAGCGAGAGATAAGATATTTGCACAAGAATGGCATTCAGTTGATAAAATCCGATTTGAAAATGAGCGAATGCCTGGCAATGAGCAAAGCACGCGGCACGGACTCCGGACTCCCCCATTTCGAAGAATGGTGGCAAAAGCTGTAGCAAAACAAAGCGCAGACACTGTAGTGGGCGGCGGGCGGTGTGGGCGGTGTGTGGGGTGTATTAAAGGAGTCTGGCCTCGTCGCTGGCAAGGATAACAATTTTATAAATAAATATTTGTGCGCCCAGCAAAGTTGCCTTCGCTCCTTTGCGTTTCGCTTTTGAACTCAACTATCTGGCGATAAATCATTTGAAGTTGTCGTTCCCTGCAATTGGCCCGGTGACAATCTTTGTACCAAAAAAAAAAAACCAAAAAGAAAGAAAGAAAAAGAAAAGCTAAGGAAAAAGAGAAAAACAAAAACTCAAGGACACAATCGGCTGCTGCTCCTGCTCCAGCTGCTTGTTGTTCTTGTTGTTGCTATTGGCCACGTTTTACGCACTTTCGCCCGTAAATCTGCGACGAGCTGTACTGAAGTGCAAAGCGGAAGCGTGTCTCCGTCTGATAGTCCAATGACTTCCGCTCCTGCCGTTTAATGCTTTTTAATGAGTTGCTGCTCCCTGCCAGTAAAAGGTGCCAGAGAGAGTCAGAGGGGCGGAGTGAGGGGAGGGGGGGGGGGGTGCAAAGACATGTGAACTTAATCGATATCATTGATGACAGCTTTTCGCATGTCTTCCCAAAATTAAAACGCCCTTTCACGGGTTCAGGCCTGGACAGCAGCATTTGTGCATAAAGGTTTAACAGAACCTCAGAAAGTTTGGTTTTACGTTTCGTTAGATTTTTGAGTGTTTTATGTTTACATTTGTAAAAACATTTTTACCGAATATGACTTTCTTCTAAGATTATTTTTGCTTAATACAATTGGTTTAGCTGATGTTATTTAAGTGTCAGGTCTAGTTTTATATAAGTGTATAAAAACACAAACATTTTTCTCGAGATCATCTTTAAAATTCATTTATCTACAATGTGTAAAGATGTGTGCAAAGCTTTTGCCCAATACCAACATTTTTTTTTGGGTACCTACTTAATAAAAATATGAAAATAAGAAGAAGCTTTCTGTTCCACAAATATACAAGCAGAAATGGTTTTCAAGTTTCAAATTAACTAAAGAGAAATTGAGACAATCATAGTAAAAGTCTTTCAGATTCAATAAAAAAAAGGTTAATAAAGTCTTTTAATCAAAAGTTCATAATAATCGAAAATGTTATCTAAAGTGCGTTAAGCCGTATATTATTATATTATCAGTTCCTCTAAATCGTATATTTTAAGCTGAGAGTTGAGTAAATTAAATAAAATCCGGAATACCCCACAAAGAATTTTACAATATATAATTTTAATTGTTTATAGAATTATCTGAGTTCCATCCAACAAAAGGGTGTCTAAAATCTTCCAGCTGGCGAAAAAATACGTTAAATATTTTTAAATATTTAAAAAAAAAAGTAGATAAAGTAATTTGTAAGCTGGTTCTAATCTAAATTTCTTTAAGCCCCGCTAAATCTATAATTATAAAGAAATTATACAATTATAGTTCTTGCACTCAACTTTACCAACCTTGACTTGAATCAAAGTCAAGTGTCATGCGAGATCAGATTATAACGTGTACAAAACTTGCCGAAACAAGGCAGAAATTGATTCCTGGAACACCCACATATGTATTTTTTAATACGTCTGCTCCGATTGATGACTTTTTGCCTTTGCCTTTGCCTCTCTTTTTTTACTTTTTTCTTTGGATGTTTCTTTCTGGGCTTAAAGCATTGTGTCCAAATCGCTTTTGGACGACAGTTTAGAATTCGATTGGAGCGCCATTTGGTAGCCTCATTACTTATGCCGGTCAGGTAAATCTTGTAAAAACTGACCCCTCTCTCCACCCTACCCCAACACGCGCCTACCCTCTCAGTCAGATGCTTGTGGCCAGCTCCTTTTCTTTTTTTTTTTTTGTCACTGTTGATTGACTCGATTTGTTGTTGGGCGGCGCCTTAAAGTGCTTAGTACAACTTTAATTTGTTGTTGTTTTTTGTTTTTTATTTTTTATTTTGTCGGCCATTGCTCAGATTTGACTGTCTTTGGGAGCAGGCGTTCCGGGCACTTGTTTTCGCCTTGTTGAGGAAAGGGAGTGCTTGGAGCCGCGGGCGCTTGGCTTTCTTCGTGCCGTGCATTGATAAATGAGCCAGCTACAAAGGTCGTTGCCAGGGTCGCGGGCTTTGGGCTCTCTTTTTCTTTTATTATTTGTTTATGCGCTGCGGACTGTCCGTCGTTTGGTCTATTGAAAAGTCGCCCATACACACCTCTCCCACCCTCTGCGGACTTGCTCGCTCTGGGCTCTACCCGGAAGATAAACAAGTGGCCGCAAATGGCGGGTCCAAAGTCGATGGCGAGTTGCTAACAAATTGTGGGCAATATTTTTGTTTCATCAACAGTGTCCTTGTCGTCGTTGCCCAGCTCCTTGGGGCCATTGGCAACTTTATTGCATTATTGAAAAACTTGTCCAAATATTTTGAATGTGTAGAAAAGCTTTTTGCTCTTATTAAATTTGCAGCCCTCTCGCACGTCGCACTTTATTTAATTGTATCAAAATATTGTATGCCCAGATCGTATGTATATATAAATATATATAAGCGTGTACTCTCAAGTGTTTCTAAATTTATCCTACCTTAGTTTTTTGCTTCTGGAGCTGCAGTTGTGACAGCGCTGCTCAGTTTTCAGTTTCATCCAAATTGTTGCCATATTTACACATGATTTTATTAATGCATTTTCCCATAGTTTTCACATAGCTATGAAATTTTCATGAGTTTTCATGCCTCGCACTGCATACAAGTATGATAAATTATTATTGTTATTATTTGTTGTTGTTTTGTTTTGCTTGCAACAGGCGCTTTACTTCGTGCCAACAATTTTAATCATCCGAATTCTTTTGAGTTTTAATTAAATTTCCCTTTATATTTTCCGATAGTTGGTTTTTACTTTCATTCCCACTGCTCATCAAACATTTACGAGCTGAAAGGAAGAATTAAATATTTTGCAATTTATATTAAATTGTTTGGTATTTTATTATTAAGGCACAAAGTAGTAACTGATATTAATTCATATTTCTGTAAAAGCGAAATGCAATTTGAGAGCTTTACATATCGCATTATCGTGCTGGCAATATATGTTACCCATTGTTGGGCACAGTCCCATTATCAAAGCCCTACGAATGATTTTCTGATTCGCAAGTAATTATGTTATAGGCATGGGCAGAAAAAATATGTTTGTATGAACAGAGCGCGAATGCACAATGCGTATTACATACTTTTAGGATCATACTTGTGTATAAATCAAAGAAAAGAACTTGACTTGGCCATTTTTGCCAACAGGTGGGCAGCCAAAGAACTCCACAATTCAAAAGCACGGCAGCTTAAAATACAATAAAATAAATAACTCAAGAAAGAAAAGTACAACGAAACTGGAAGCTTTTCATTCAAATCGGCAAACAAAAAGCATTTATATAAATTCGATGCGAGAATGAAATTCATAGCATGGGCTTTGAAAAGTTATATATATTTATAGAACTGAAAATCAAATTATATTTTTGTTTGTGAATATTAAAACACAATAAGTAAGAGTGGTAAGAGGTACAAAGAAGATTTTTTTTAATTTATAAAAAGGGATTTATAAATTCTATTTAAGATGTTTCAATTCACATTTCACATCTCTATATAAAAACTGTTTGTCCTGGCTGACTGGCTGACTGACTGACTGACTGAATGACTGAATGACTGAATGACTGACTGACTGGCTGACTGACTGGCTGACTGACTGAATGACTGACACAGTCCGACTCGTAAGAGCTAGGTAGCTAAAATTGTCACTACAATTGCCTTATGTGATTGAAGTGCGCACTTAGACAAGGAAAAGTTCCACCCGCAAATGTGAAAAAGTCGTGAAAAACATTTGTGTCAAATTGTTTTGTTTACCATCCGAGAAGAACCGAATACGTGTTTTAGCGATTTCGGAAATACCACCCATCATTTAATAACCATCAAATCGGTGTGAAACTCATTTCCAAGAATCTTTGAAAAAAATTTATTTGATACGGAAAATATTGAGACAAAATGGTTACTGAACGAAAGTTTATTTTTCGGTTTCAAGATACTCAGCTCAAGACTATCCTAAGCAGAAGATATTGATTCCAACTATAATGTATAAATTGGACTTTAGTTGAGTTCAATATAGTACAAGAATATTTAAATTGTCTTCGGCAGGAGAACTATATCTAGAATTTGAAGCCCCAAGCCTGCCACGGGCAATGCCGGGAAATACCCGCTAGTTATATACATATATTTTCATCGATCGGAGCTTATCTGCTATTATAGCTCAAAGTTGGATTTGAAACCAAGTTCGCCTTAGCCATATTCAAAGTATACCAAATTTCATACGGCCCACTATTCTCCTCTCTGCCTTTTTATCGTAACTTAAATTTGTTGATTGCATCACAATTATATGGATTTTGTCCTGCACTTCTAGTTAATTCCTAAACACGCAATCCAATTTACTTAGAAATTCGCAGCTGTTCCCTCTAGGCGTCACAAGTGGCGTATGCGCAATTTATGCGCCATACAAATGTATTATTAATATGGTATATCGCATTTGAACGCACAGTATTATTTTCATGCAGCATGCAAATAAAATCGAAACGTGGCTAATTTTCAGCGTCTCCAAGCGAAATCAATGGCAGCTGTCAACGTGCTTGTTCCGTGCGCTCCACCACGTGCCTTCGCGCCTCTTCGCCCAGAAGGCTTCTCGATAAAATAATAAATAATAGAAAAATGCGCATAGAAATTGGTGGGCTGATTTTTTATGTCTGACTGTGGAGTGGGAATAAATGTGCGTGACACGCGCTCAACTCTTGGGCTTTTGGCCTACCGATTTGCCTCTATATATGTACATGTGCTGAGCGTGTGTCCGTGTGTGAATATAAGTCGATTTTAAAATGTGTGCGTTTGGGTCTCTTGTATTATTGAATACGACATTTATATGCCACCGCCGGCCACATGCGCATTTTCACATAATAGACTCAAACACATACACAGATACAGCTACATATACATATACGTACATAGAGATACAGATACAGATATAGATATAGATACAGATACAAATGCGCTGCCATTTGGCGTAGCCAACTGTCAGGCGCACGCATTTTGGCGGTTGACATTCTGACAAAAGCAGAAACAACACCAAAGCGCACAATAGACAGCCAATAGATGCAGAAACACGCGCCCAATACACACACACATATCCACACATAGCACACACACACGCGAGCACACACACATACGCCTCACAGACACAACGCTTTGTTGGCCAAATGAGGCGAAAGCGTTTCACTAATTAGGCCTCAATTTCAATTACGTGCACAGCAAACTAAACAAATATTAGCTGGCAAATTAAAAATATATTTTCGTGTGCATAAAATATAAAAATATATTTTAAAAGTATCTATGCATACAGCTCAAAGTGGCTTGACGATTAATTAATGGCATTGCAACCAACTCTAAATATATTAATTAGCATCAGGCACAAAAGAAACAAAATATTTGTTTGTTTAAACAATTAAATGTAACATAATAAAAGATTGACTATGTCACACCCTGTATCAAGTTTTCTTTTGATTAACTTAAATTTACTTAAATTATTGATTTATTTAAATTATAGATTTTAGTTCAGTTATTATTATAAAATAATAATAATAATACAATACACAATATAATATAATACAAAACATTATATAACAAGCAATTATATTATAACAATAACGAATCTACATCTATTGAAATTCTAATATTTTAAGCTTCTTTCCGTTTTTAATAGCGAAACAGAAACCAAAATTAAATAAATATGATAAATTGAGCATAGTGTTCATTTCCTTTACCAAATAGAATAGAATTATAATTGATTACATATTGAGTAAATCAAACATTCCAAGTCATTTTATTTTAGCCCAAAAAGAAATGATATTTTTAATTTCTGCACATATTCAAATAAATTCTGTGAAATGTACGCACTTTTGGAATTTAATTGATTTTTAATGCTAGAATGTTATTAAAATTTAGCGAAAAAATTATACTATAAATAATGAAATCTGAGCGAAGAATTTTGGCTCTGCATTCTGTGTGTACACTATATGTATTTATATTATATATTAAATATAATGTACTAGCGGGTATAACCCGGCCTTGCCCGTGGCACGTATGTTATAAAATCAAAAAAGCTTTGAAAATGATTTTGTAACTGATCGGACGGGAATCAAACAACTTTAATGCAAATCGGAAAACTCTTAAAATTCACCAAAAAAAATCTTAAATATGCATTTTCCACCGAAGGAGTTTAGATTTTGCGAGAAATGTGAAACACGTCTCTAATGATTTTTCTTATAGATCTTTGGAAATAAATTTGAACACAAAACGTCATCCACCAAATCTTCGACCCCCATTTGCACCAAGGAGGCATGGATTTTCCTAAAAGTGTGAAACACCCCTCAAACGAATTTAAACATAGATCTTTAAATATGAATTTGGGGCCGATCGGATGGTAAACAAAAAACTTTCGTACAGCCTTTTTCCGCCAATTTACCACTGTTGCGGGTGGAATTTTCCAAATCGCTGAAATACGTACTTATTAAGTTCTTATGAAGAGCTTTGAAAATAAGTTTGAAGCAAATCGGACACAACTTAAAACGCCGCCCAAAAAATCTTTAAATAGCATTACCCCCGAAGAAGTTTGAATTCTGCGAAAAGTGAGCAACACGTCTCAAATGATTTTTCATATAGATCACAAAGATCTTTCAAAATAAGTTTGGGGCCGATCGGATAGTAAACAAAAAAGTTACATACAAACGTTTTTCGCGATTTTTCCACACTTGCGAGTGGAATTTCCCGAAACCCCGTCTTAACGTGCACCTACGTCACATAAAGCAGCTACAGTGAAAATTTCAGCTTCCTAGCTCTTACGGTTTGGGCTGTGCGTGGATCACCAATCAGTCAGTCAGTCAGTCAGTCAGTCAGGACAAACAGTTTTATGTATAGAGATTATATATTTATTATATAAATTATCAACATTATCTCCAACTTCTGTCTGTTCTCAATTGTGTAATATTATTAACACTGGGTATGCTGCCTCACGTAACGTTGCTGGCATCGAATATCAACTACTCAGCAAATAATTACCTCGAAATAATTCACTATATAATAGTATTAGGTGGAATGTACACTCACACACTCACACACACACACAAACACACACCGACAACAGGACAGCGGAAGAGGGGAAAACAGCAACAAACACGAAAGTGGAACGAAAAATAAATTAGAATTTTTGTTTAATTGGAAATTTGATGCGAAATAACAAAAACGTTTTAACTTGCACGTTCTTGTTGTAGTCGCAGTTGTTGATGTTGTTGTGATTTTTGTTGTTGTATTTGATGTTGTTGTTGTTGTTGTTGTTGTTGTTGTTTTACGCGTTGCTTTTCTCCTGCGCTGGCATTGCGCAAATTGAGCTTTTCTCATCATATTAAATTTCATCAATATGTACCTATTATTTTCATTTTGAGCATCATTATTTCTGAAGATGAAATATGGCATAAAATACTGAAATATCAGCAGCACTCAGCGGTTCGCTGTTCAAGGCATTTATAATGTACACTGAATTGTAGGGAGGGTGCCCCTGGCCATTGGGCAGGGGAAATTAATGTTAAGACTGGGCCATTGAGAGGAAATAATTTATATAAGGCATACGACAATTATTTTAAATGTAAAATGAAGACTAAATGAATGGATGAATAGTACTCGAAAAGAAAATAAAGGAATGAATAAAATCCAGCAATAAAATGAACAATATATTTTATATATATTTAAATTTAATTTCATACCAACAGCTCTTTACTTGCTACTTTTGTTTTAGAAGTCCTTAAAGTAACCTTCTTTTTGCATATTTAAAAACATATTGAGAAATTAACA